TTAGCGAGTCAAGTGAAACTGCTTCTAGCAAAGATGATATTTTAAAACCAAATGATATTTCTGGCAGTAATAACAATTTAGAAAATGAAAAACAGACATTGGTGCGTATTTTTAAACCTTTAAGTGATTCAAGTATACCGTTACTCAACCAAGCTTATCATCGTTATGAATTTGAAAATAAAATTAAACAAAGTGCGGAGATAAACAATTTGTTATATTATAACTTTTTAAAGAGTTTACCTCATCTTTTGGATACAAAGCTTTTGCGCTTACGAAATCCACTTTATAATAAGGAACCTTCTCAGGATTTTCCTACTGCTGACCACAATACGGTCGAAGAGAAGAATTATATTACTCCATATATAAGGCAGATAAGAACTATAAGAGAGAAGGAAATGAATTTAATTAAATCTCGGTCACCTCAAATTTTAGAAGCTTTTCGTCCTCTTCAACAGAGGTTAACAAGGTTAAGTCAAAGACCGCATAATTCTATGAATGATATTTTTTTAGATAAAAGTATCTACATTGGAGACAAAGTTGCTACTTTTTATGAAAAAATTCCATTTAATAATTTATCCACCTCTTTAGAAATTTTGATTAAGTTGTACCAATTTCACGTTTTGAAAAATTCCAAATTAAAAAAAGGTAGAGATTATTATAGAGAAAGAATGTTTATAAATTTCTTTATAGGAATGTACGTCGAAATATTTGAAAAGTTGGTAAATAGCAACAATTATAATTTCTCGACACTTTCTTTACAAATTGAAACACTTTTTATTTTTAGTAGAAACTTTTTTAAAATTTTTGAGGATGAAGAATGGTATAAGATATATAACATGGATAAAAAAATAATTGTTAATAGTCAGAACAAAAACTCTGTTTTTAAGAATTCAAAATATAATTCTCAATCTTTTGGGAGAATGGTTTGCAATGATTTTATTAAAAAACTTATAACGAAGGAACTCTTTTTACAAGCTTTAAAAATGTTCCAATGTCTTTATCATCACGAGATCTACCCAGTGGATATAGCCTCATTTAATAATCTTGTTAATATATTTTATAAAACACGTCAGTTTCGTAAAGCCTGCGAGTTATATTTTTCCTTTAGACAATGCATAGCGACCCGCAAGAAGTATACTGAGTGTACTAACAGAATCCTACATAAAATCATAAAACAAATTGGGCACAATTTTGAAAGTTATAATAATAAACCACCTTTTAGATCTTTTGAAAGCCTCATTATTAATGAAAGTCAACTTAAAAATTTTTATTTTAACAGTGAAACGTTTAGTATAATTGTACCTTCACTAGTTCAGTTACACGAGCAAGGTTATTATAGTAGATTCACATTTGCTTTAATTGTTTTCTTGGAATGTTTTATTTTTTATCGTCTGTTATTTATTTTAATTATTTTTCAGGCAATAAAGCAGTTAACTGCGATCTTGTACTTGAAACTATTACAGACTCTATTGAAAATCTAAATATTCAGCCTTCCATCATCGTCTGTGAATACTTTGCAGTATACTTTTATAAGAACCATAAAGATGACCGTTCTAATGATTACATTTCAGTTAGAAAGTACATTTGTAACTTGTTAATTTTTGCTTGTAAAAATGAAAGTTTAGATACAAATATTAAATATTTAAGTTTAATTTCAAATTTAAAAGTAGAAAAAAAGGTATTGGAACTTTTAGAGTTATTAAAAATAACATACCCACAAGGTTTACTAAAGGAGAAAATTTCTCGGTTTCCTTCTTTAGCTTCCTTTTATTCCTTTTAAGTTACAAAATACTCTTTTACCATATTTATTATATAAGTTGAGTAATCTTTGTTATTATTACTTTATTACAAATAAAAAAATTTTAAATTATATAAAAGTTTAACCTATTATGAAACGGTTATAGAAGATATATTAGAGAGCTTTAATTCAAAGGATCGATAATTATAATAGATAATCAGTCTAAAAATTTAGGATTACGAAAAAATTTATAAGATTTAAAAAAAGTAGTTTTAGGGAAATATAGTAAAACCAGTTAGTACTTAATTTTATTTACGCAGGCATATTTTCTGTAATACAGTAGTCAGCTTAGAAGTAACAAGATTGTTCAAATAATAAAAATTAGTGCAGTTTAATGTTTTTGTTAAACAAAATTCAGTCACTCAAGGTATCTGAAGTTATTTATTTAATATAACAAGTACGACAAGTAAATAAAAAGAAGCAGTGACTTGATCTAATTAAGGTGTATCTTTTTTTTTGTTTCCTTTTATTTTTTTTTTTTTTTGCTATTTTTACTTTGGGTCATTATCTATTTATTTATTTATAGCACTGGCTTGATATAGTTTTTTTTTCTAATCAATTGCTGCTCAATCTACTTATCTATTAAATGAGGGTGCGGAGGCCACAAACTTCCCTAACCATTCATTGCCCCATCAACGAGAAGAACGAATGCGCTTTAGCTTAATAGTATATATTAATAAAAAGCAGTAGCAAAGTAACACCAATATTAAATTTAATAGAATAGTTAAGTTAAAATATCGTTATATTTTTGGAAAAAATATTTTATATATTAATATTTTTTTATTAATAAACCATATTCCCCCTCTAGGAGATGTTTTGGCTGCGGGGCCCTTGGTGTATCAGCGAGAGTCATAGCCAAGTGCCTGCCTAATTAGTATGTTGTGGTGACTACAGGCACTAGTAAACCATTCCCATGAAATTTTAAGATATTTTTGAATAGGCTCTCGCGATTACACTCTACGGAATTGGTTGTTGCGCACAAATCAAAGGGCACTCTCATTCGTAGAACGCGGTTTTCTAGTATTTGTAGACTATGAATATGTTTGCTCGAGAAGTTGGCCCAGACAATAGAGACATGAACCATCAACGGGTGCATAACCGATTTGTATAACAGAAGCATGTTTTTTTCAAATACAGTTCGCTTTTTCTGCATATACGGCTATAGCTTTTCTGGTTTTAAAAACAACGTAAGAAAGATGCAGATCCAGTTTACTTCTTCGTCAACCATTTTCCGAGATCTTAACCATCTTCCTTGGAGGGATGACAGTTTGGTTTAGTGAGAAACTTGGGGTTGGGGGGAAGTACCTCCTAAAGCTACTTTTCAACGCGTTAATTATTAACCCTCTAAGTTGAAAACCACGCTTCAAGCATTGTCAGTTAAGGCTCTATGTTTTTAAACACCAACCAAGTAGCCAGATAGATAGGGAACTATAACAAAAGACTGTGTCATCAGCGTACTGAGCTAAGTTTATTTTTGACGATTGTGGCATATCGGCATGAAAACAAAAAAAAGTAAAGGTGATAGTAAGGGGCCTAGTGTTACACCCATTTTTAATTGTTTAAAAGAGGAATTCAACGGACTTACTCCAGCATTAAAGGTTCTGATCGAATGACCCTTGTTAAATTCCACAGGTAAATTATTCACTGACCCAGAAGAATAAATTATTATCCCAGCTCTCGTTAAACCAAGCTTTTAATTTCTCCTTAACTCGGGTGTTGATGTTGTTGTAAAGTTTTTTATCTTCTGGAAAACAAGAGTTCATCTACCCTGCCCTCAACTTTCGCCTTCTGTTAACCAGCGATCTGATATGGTATGGTAGGTCATATTGCTGGTTTTGGCGTTCTTCAAATGAAGTGGATCTCCTGTAAGCCTTCTTTATAACCCTTCCATTTGCACAACAGCCGTGTCTAAACCAGGGGCTTTCTCAATAGTGTACGCCATGGTGTCTACGCTATTGTCTACCCGAAATGTTGGCCAACTAGTTACCTTTTTAATCCAAGTACCCGGGGTTGACTTATCACCCATCTCTATGAGGGAGGGGTTACGATCAAAAGAGAGTTCAAATAGTGTATTGACGGTGACAGGTATATAAATATTTTCTGTGACCGTTATATCTGAAACATCACAAGCCCCTTTGACTGGGCGATGCGTTGGGCCCTTTAGGCCAATAAGAATTAAAACTCCTTTGGAGCTATCAAGCTTTGTAAATGTACACGCCTTTCTAAACGCTAGATTCTTAATAAACTATCCTCCAGACGGTTAGCAACAACAAAATGTTCATCCCTAGAGACCGAGAAAATTAACTAAACTTGTCCTCTAGACAGTCAAGCAATACTTCTTGTCAACCCCACAAAGTGGAAGAACCCTACATAACAGTGGAGCTAAAATCTGGTTTATTAAAGGTTAAAACAAAATATATACAGTTTTAAATTAAGCTACCAAGCGCATACATCTCGACGGCGCAATATCCATTTTTATTAACTGCGCACTGTACGTGGAATCATACCAAACCATCGGTAAATACTAGTTTTAATATATTAACTATAGCGTCTACGCCATTAATGAGGAAGTAAAAAGGAAGTAGAAACAGATTTACTGCATTGCTTTACGCCTATACGCGAATATTAAAGGTGAAATAGAAGGCGGCGCGTCATACAAGCAAATATATGATACTAATAAAAAGCAACATAATGCAAAATTTGGTTTTAAAAAAGCTGTAGTGATTATAATTATCACAAGACACGCACGCACTTTGAAACTGTACAAACTGAAAAAAAAAATTTAAGGTTTTATTGCAGAGTCACTATAATAAAAAAATATTGCCCGTGTAAAAAATGATTTAACTTATCAATAACTTAAATTTTACAATAAATTAAATGTAATTATGAATATTATTGTAAGGTTATTAAATACTATTAAAACGTCTAGATAATAAAAGAAAGCCTACATCATTAATATTTTTTATTTTCAATATTAATTATTATTACAGTTTTTATGTATTTTATATACTAACCCACTCTAGATTTAGGTATTATTTGTAATTCTTCTATATTTAATACACCGCAAAAGTCTTTAAAAAAACATGCTTACTTATTTATTATACTTTTATCACTTTTTATTTTTTTGTGGCGAGGGTGTACTATGTAATATTAACAGTAATAGTATTATAAACACTAATATTTTTATTAAAGCATTTTTGCGTCACTTCACTTTGATGATTCCAGGATCCACCTAAAAATATACAAAATTATAATATTTTTATGAAAAGTATTTAAAATAACAAAAAATAAACTAAAAGCCCAACAAATCAGTTCACTTTTTGTGAGCTATACGAAATTAGCGGATAGAATTATTATATTTATAATAGTATAATATCATTTTATAATAATTAAAAATATAGAATAAAAAGATATTAACATCTATTGGACGAGATCAATAACTTCAGCCAATAAGTAAATAGTTTAATAAAATATGGGCTAAAGCCAATCTTTATGCCTGGAAAAAACATAAAAAGGTGATTGGACAAGATAATTAAGGCCTTCTCGAATTGGTTGAACAGCGGTAATAAAATTAATGAAACGCAAAAATTTAAAATACAAAAAATAATAAAAAAATAATTACTAAATAACTATTAAAGTATTTATAATAAATAGGTTTTTTGTGTAGTAATATTTATTTATTATTAAATTAAAAATGATATAAAAATATAAAAACGTCATAAGTAAATATTTATGAGTAAAATAATATTTTATAATAATAACTATACAAAAATATTACAAAAAGAAAACTAATGAAATAGAAAAAAAAAGTTTATTAACAAATATTTTCCTAGAGTGAAGTACATTCACTACAATTAATGATAACAGTTCAATGAAATTAATGAAAAAAAATTTTCATAATAAAATTTAAGCAGTAATAACATATTTTAATAAAAGGGTATAAAAAAATTATATAAACTGAAAGAGTTTATAATATTTATAACTACTATTAATAATATAAACAAAAAAAATAAAAAAATACACGAAAATATTAAAAAATTAAAATTTTTTAAACATTTTTAATTTTTCATATCTTTCTTATGCAAAATATATAAATAATTATAAATAGTAATTAAAGTTTATAGTATTTACTATTATTATTTATAATACAAACAACAAGAAATAAATATATTTATTTTAATTTTTAAATTATTTTTTACTTCTCAAAGAATTTGTTATGGAAAAATATATAAAAAAAATATAATGACAATGATAGTAATAAGTGAACAAGCTTATAATGCTTGTTATAACTATTTATAATACTAACGAAAATAAATAAAAAAAAAATTTTACTTTAATACTTTAATTATAAAAGTACAAAAATAAAAAAATTATATTAAATAAAAATATTTATTATAATTTTTTTAAAGGATAATACAAGTTTGATAGTACTTATATTACTTATAGTAATAGAAAATCAAGTTTTTATACTTCTTTGAAGTTTTTAAAAATTTAAATATTTATAATAATTTTTACTGTTATATAATTTTCTTATGCAATTTTCTTATGCAAAATATATATAAATAATAATAATAGTATTAAGTAAAAAAGTTAATAATATTTATTATTATTTTTTATAATATAAAACAAAAAAGGAAATAAATATTAATAATAAAAATAATAAAAATAATAATAAATAAAAAAATTTTATTAAAGTATTATTTAAATATAATAAAAGTTTTAAACTTTTAATATTATTTTCAATATTTTTTTATTTTTTTACTACTAATAAAATAGAAAATAAAGTTTTCATATTTCTTTAAAGTTTGCTTTTTATAATATATAAAACTTTTTTACTTTTCAAAATATTTTTATACAAAATATATAATTAATAATAATATAAGGAAGTTATAATGGTTATTATTATTTATATTATTTCAAAAAAAAGGAAATGGATTTTTTTTTTTCAATAATAAAAAAATAAATATATTTATTATATTTTTTATATAATATAATAAAATAATCGTTTCTATATTTTTATAAAGTTTGCTTATTGTAACATTTAAAACTTTTTTTTTTAATTTTTAATAAATTTTATACGAAAAAACATATAAACATTATAAGATTAATAATAATAATAATAATAAGAATTATATATAACAATAATAATAATTACTTTATACTCTTCTATAAGGAGTTGAGGAAGTTCGGCAAGGAAGTCGCCTAATTTGGAATAAATTGTAACGAAAGCAATTTACGTATCCAATAAATAATCTATGGAACACGTGACCCTCAACCAATCAAAAAAAGGAAAAATAAGTTTCTATTTATGACATGAGTTTCAACAAAACTATTACTATCATTATTATTTTTTATAATTATTATCATTTATGCAATATTTTTAGTGAAGTTAGTACTATCAATAACATATTTATTCAACTTTTTCAAAAAAAAGTTTATAAATTATTGATATTATTTATTTATTTATTGATCAATTAGTATTATATATACATACATGCAATATTATTGGTGCGGTTTCTTAGTAAATAGTACATTATTATTATTTAATAATTATTATTATAATTTAGTTATTCGTTGATGCAATTATTACGTTACATTAATGAAACAATTTTAGTGAAGTTAAAATAATTATTGATGCAGATTTTTCATAGTAAAGATTATTAATTATTATTATCATTAAATTATTTATTGATCAATTATGATTGTATATTTATGCAATATTTTTTGTGAAGTTTTATTATTATCATCATTACTTAAAATCCACGCAACTTTTTTAAAGAAAAGTTTACTTATTATTATTATTACAAATTTATTTAGTAAGCAGTTATTATTAAATATTTCTGCAACATTTTTGTTAAAGTTATTAATATTATTATTAACGACTTTATAATAAACTTTGATTGTTTATTATTATTATGAGTAAACATCATAATATTATATGTACAGCACTTATTTGGTTTATTTATTTATCTTTAATATTATAAATTATAAATTTTGTAAAGTACTTTTACTTTTATTTATTATTATAATAAAATAGTTTAAAAAAGTTTATTTTCTATTATAACTTTTTATTATTTATAAAATAGTAACAAGAAAATAATAAAAACTGCAGCTTTTCTATTATAAAAGTTTATTATTTATAATAACTTTATACTGTTTATTATTTATTATTTTTTAGTATAAATAAAAATATTTCTACTACTTTCCTGTTAGAAAAGTTTAATTTTAAAAACTTTTATTATATATCCATAAATTATTATAATTTTATATAATATAATTTTATTCCTGTAACTTTTCTGTTATAAAAGTTTGTTATTTATTATAATTATTATTTTTTATAGTACACTTTTTTCTGTAACGTTTATATATAAAAAATATTTTTCTTATAACTTTTTATTTAAATATAATTATAATATATAAAGTCATTATATTGCTGAAACTTTTCGGTTATAAAAGTTCTTTATTCATTATTTATTAGTAAATTTATTATTAATTATTATATTTTTGCAACTTTTCTAGTGTAAAACTACCTTTTTTCCAAATAACTTTTCTTATTTACTAATTATTATTCAATATAGTTATAATATATTATAGTTTTTATACTTTTTATATTAAAAAAAGTTTCTTCATATTATTTATATCATCATAATTCTAACACTTTTCTACTATAAAAGTTTATTATTTATTATTTATCTACAATTTTAATATAAATTATTTTAAATCTGCAACCTTTCTAGTAAAAAAATTCGTTTTTAATTATAACTTTTATATTATTATATTTCTATTCATTAATATATTCATTATTTATATTATTTACTATTAATAAATATATAAAATATTATATTTCTAAAACTTTTCTATTATAAAAGTTTCTTATTTATTAGTTTGTTTGTTATTTAATAATAATTATTTATTTATTATTATTGAATCCATTTATATATATTATTATATTTAAAAACTTTTTTAACATAAATGTTTATTACTTATTATTTGTATAAAAATTGAACATATTATTCTGCAATTGTTCTTTATAAAAATAATTATATATTATTTATATATAAATATAATAAAAAATTTATATATATTTTTCTACGACGTTTTTTATTATAAAAGTTTATTATTTATTATTATTTTTATATATAAATCAAACTTTACGCAAACCTTGAATAGCAACGGCCTGCGATTTGCCAGTAGCAACTACAGATGCGCCACATGCAAATTTACTACCGAAAAACTTTGCTGCTTGTTTTATATCAATTCCTTTAGTATTAATAAAAATAATAGTAATAATAAATATAATAATAATAGAAATAAGTAAAAGATAATAGTAATAAATAAATGACAATAATAATGGTTATATAAACATGTTAAAAAAAATTTATAAAAAGGTTAGTATATTTATTCCAACAAATATAAAAAAAGTGTATTATTCAGTGTATTTATTAATATAACGTAATATATATTTTTATATATATTTAAGGAAAGTAATGAAGTTAATATATAAAGCAAACAGAAATATTGAAGTATAAAAAATAAAATAAACATTCTGTAATGTAATAATAATGATAACTATTATTATTATTATTTTTAATATAAAGTTTATATGAATAATTTACAAAAGTATAATAAATATAATAAAGCTGTCCTCAAATATAATTATTATCATTTCTAACAAAAACTTTAAAAAATAATAAAGGTATATTATTAATAATAAAGTCGTCTGTATATATTATTATTATTTCTAATAAAAAGTATATTAAAGTAATAATAAAAGCATAATAAATATATTAAATTTGTACATAAATTTTATTTTTATTTTTTATCGAAAGTATATATAAATATTATATAAAAGTATAATATAATAAAGTTGTATATTAATATTAGTATTTCTGATAAAAAGTCTATGTAAATACTATATAATAGTATAATAAATACAATAAATTTGTATATAAATATTATCAATATTTCTTAATCCAAAAGTTTACAAAAATAATAGTATATGTAAATATTTTATTAAAGTATAATAATAATAAACTTAAGAAAAATTATAAAGTTTCAAACAATTTATAATAAAATTATTACTATACTTAATAGAATATTTATTCTATATAAAAAAGTTTATCGAAAACTTATTAATAGTAATATATTGAAAAATATAAAAAAGTTTATATATATATAAAAAAGAATTTATTAATATTAGTCTCAAATTATATCATAATTGTTAATATTTACTAAATATAATAAATAAATATAATAATAAAACTTTTTATTAATAAGAAAAAGATAAACGTTATTATTATTAATATTTAAAATAAATATATTGAAAAATTAATAAAGAAATAAATTTATATTAAAAATAATTATATCATTATATTATTAAAGTTCATTAATACTAATTATAGAAAAAAGTTTATAAAGAGTATAAAAAAATATATAAAATATACCAAACTTATAAATAAGTAAAAGTTTCTATTTATTATCATTATTTATCATAAATATGTTACAAAAGTATATTAATCATAAGAAACTTGAAATAAAAAAGTACTAAATGTATTAGAAAAGTTTATAAACGATATATAAAAAATATATATTTATTAAAAAAAAGTTCCTATTTAGTATTATTATTATTTACTATAAATTTATAATTTACTAAATCTCTAATAACTTATAAAAATATTATAAATAAAATAAACGCTAAACAGCCGGACAGTAAAGTTTATTAATAATTCGGAAAAAAAAAACTCTTAAAAGTTTTATTTAAGTTTATATCAATTTACATTTAAATTATTATTAATAAATTGAAAATTTACTAGATATTAATTAAAATGGAGTTGATAAAAATAATAAAATATTATATAATATTAAAAAAAAAATTAAAAGTTTGAATTTATTTATTACTATTCAGTATTAATCTTATTTATTATTACTATTATAATTATTGTTGGTTCTTATTTTTCTTTATTATTATGGTATTTATTTTTTATTACTAGTTCTTATTTATTATTATTATTTTTATTTATTACTTAGTATTGTTAGTTATTATTACTTTATATTTTGAATATTGTTATAATTAGTTTTTTTATATTATTTATAATTACTAATTACATAATTAATAGTATTAAAAATTATTTATTATTATTGCTAATATTGTAAACTTTTTTAATTATTATTGCTATTAGAATTATTATTTATCAATAATGTTTTCATTAACCATTAATATATAATATTTATTATTAGTATTTATTTATATTATTATTTATATTTATTCTTAATTATTGTTATAATTCATAATGATGATTATTATTACAAAAAAATGATTAAAACTAATATTATATAAAAAATATTATTAATTTTTTTTATATATTTAATGAACTTTAAAAAACTGAATAACGATAATAATAATTTTATTTTCTTTATAATTAGATTTACTAAAAAACTTTATAATAATAATATTGTTTTATATTTTTAAAATTTTAATATTTAAATTTTGCTTATTATTTTTTAATAAAATTCGCATTAGTAATATAAATATTTATTATAATTATATAATTATTATTATTGTTATTATATCTTATTATTTAATATATTTTCCATGATTATGATTATCATTTATTAATAGTTTTATTAGTGCTATTATTGTTATATAGAATTATTATTATTATTATATTTATTATTGTTGATACTATTATAATTATTATTATAATAACTCTACCAGAAGCTTCAAGCCCTTCTATAAATGTTATAAACTTTCTTTTATTTCTTTGCTGCTTGAAAAGGATTATAGGTGAATTCTCGTCTTTATTAACTTTCTTAGGAAGTTTAACGCGTCCCTTACCTTAATATTTATTAGTATTATTATTATTATTATTATTATTATTATTATTATTATTATTATTATTATTATTATTATTATTATTATTATTATTATTATTATTATAAATATTCTAAAGACGAAAAGTTATTAATATTGATAATAATGCATTAAAAAACTGGTAAAAACTTAATAAATAAAATATCTTTTGTTCATAAAAAAATAAAAATAATCAAAATCTTCTGATAAAAAAAAAACTGTAAAATAATTATGAATTAATATGAAGCTGATTGGATAAAATTTTATCCATAAGAAATATAAATAATAAACTTTATTTATATAAATAAAATAATAAAATATAATTTTTATAAATAATACTTTATTTATTTTTATTTTATACATTTATTAAAAGTTATTTAGAAAAAAAATTATATATTTATTATATAATAATATTTTTAATATTAACTATTTTAAATATTTATTAAAAGTTATTAAAAAATAGATATAAAATGTTTATATAAAAAACTTTTCTTATTATAAATTTTGGTGTTATTTATTATAAATTATTATTTTTTATTTTGAAAATTTATTATAAATACAATATAATAATTTCATTATTAAGAAAAATTATAATGTAAAAACTTTAATTACTTTTTCTATTATTATTTATAATTGTTATTAATTATGATTCCTTATTTGTTTATAAGTTATAAAAAATGGTTTTAATAATTCCTATATAAAAACTTTTTAATTGTATACTTTTAGTTTTATTTATTATGAATTATAATTTTTTATTTTATCTGATTATTAAAAGTTATTAAAAACTTTATTATTATAAGAATATCTTTACTATTTATTATATAAAAACTATTTTTATTATATTATTTTAGTTTCATTTATTATAAATATTATTTATTAGTTCGAATATTTAAAAGTTCATTATTATAAAAAATATTATAATATTTACTATCTATAAACTTTTTCTATTATATTATTTTACTTTATATACTAAGAATTTTATTTTTTTATTTTTTATTTTATTTAAAAAAATGATTTAAAAGCTCATTATTTTGAAAAAAAATATATAAATATATTTATTTTTTATTTTTTTATTTTTATATATAATATAAACAATTTATAAAAAGTTATTAAAAAATTTTTTATAATATTTATTATATAAAACTTTAATTACAATTTTTAGTATTCTTAATATAATATTTTATTTATTATTTTTAGAATAAAAAAAATTTTATATAAAAAACTTTATCATTATTAAAAAAATATTATTATTATTTCTAAAAACTTTTTTTTTAATTTATAATTATATTATATATTTTTTCAATGTATTATTTCAAATGTTAATTAAAAAAGGTTTTCTTGATAACTTTTATTATAATAATATTATTATAAAACATTTATAATATATTTATAAATTTTTATAAGTATATGAAAAAAATTATTTAAATTACTTTTATTATTATAAAACTTTTATACCATTTTATAAAGTTTATTATAAATTTATTATTTAAATATCAAAGATAAAAAGTTTTTTATATTAATAAATTATAAATATTCTTCTTAAATTATACATACTTTATTAATTATTATAACTAAATATGTTATTATAAAATATTCAATTTCTAGAATTTTTTAAATTTATGAAAAAATATTATGTATTTTATTTATTTACAAATTTATATGCATCTCATATTAATACTTTTTGTATATATTTATTTATCATTAATATTAAATTATAATAATAAATATTTTGTTATTAAGAAACTTTATTTTATTATGTTCTTTCTATATCTTAAAATTTATTAATTCAAAAAAGAATAGTTTTTTAAACGTTTTTTTTTAAGCCTTTTTTTAAAAAAAATATTATAAAACTTTTGCTTCATTATTAAAGTTATTATATATTTTTAATTAAATTATTTCAAATGTTCAAAAAAAATATTATAAAACTTCTGCTTTATTATTAAAGTTATTATTTATTTTTATTAAAGTACTTCAAATGTTCAAAAATAAATTTTAAATTAAAAAATTAATAAAACTTTTAATATATTTTACAAAAAAATTAAAAAAAAACCTCCTCTTGTTTGAGGCTTCGATTCTGCTTGTAAAGACACACGATCGACGGCAGCAGTAAATTCTGTACTCAAAAATTTAAGCAACCTACGAGATTCACACAAAATTGGTTTTTTAAAAAAACCTTCAAAAAAATTAGGACTATTTTTTTTATTCCAATTAAGACATTCTTCTACGTTACTACCAAATTCACAAAATTCAGGAGGCAAAGAACAAACTTTTATATAAATTAGAAAAATAAATTTAGAAGAAAAATAATTTTAATTTGTAACAACAAACTGAATTAAAAAAATGAAAGCAAAAGTAATAATGAGAAAATTTTCTGAAATAAAACAGCCCCAAAGATTTAGAAGGAAAGCAAAAATCAATCGATATTTTTAAATGAAAATATTGGTAGTTTAGTAAATAAAACAAAAAAAAAAAAAAAGAGCAAAAGTAATAAATGCCGAAGAAATAATCGTAACTAAATTGCAAAAGGAAAAAAAATCAAAAAAAATCATTTTACATAAGAAATTGATATAATTATTAAAACTTTTATAAATTAACCTAATAAAATTTAATAAGAAATTGAAAAAAGTGATTATAGGAATTATTACTAGAAACAAAGTTGTCAAAAAAAAAAATAGCAAAGTGGATGAAAAAAAACAATAAAGATTAAATATGAAATAAAAAATTAAAAAAAAAATTAAAATCTATTTAATATTATATTTCATTAAATTCAGTTAAAACATTTAAAAAGTGGAACAATAGTGAAGGCAAAATCATAATAGAAAAATTCAAAAGGTAAAGAAAAACTAATTACATAGTAAAATAGAGAAAGAAATTAAACAAAACTAAATTTGAAAGAAGAAAAATTTAAATTAGAATGAATTATTATAGCCATTCTTTAAATTCAATATTAAATTTAATAAAATAGAACAAAAGTAATTATATGGAATAATAATGAAGAAATAATCACCATAACAATTTCGAAAGGGGAAGAAAAAGCTATGTAGTAAAGTAGAGAAAGAAGACAATGAAAATTTATTTTATGTGTGGATTAATTTATTTTTAAAATTTTTATAATTCATTATATGAATGAAAAATATAATTATGGAAAAATTTAGTAGTAATTTTAAATCTACAAACACTGAAAGAGAAATCAATATGCAATTAAATAAAAAAATTCTGTTTACATAATAAAAAAGATAAAAAATGCTAAGGTTTTTTTTTAGATTATGCAAAAATTAACCAAATTTAAAGAATTAAGAAAAAATTAAAAATCTTTAAAATAAGATTATTTTACTATTATTTTTATAGTACTTACAATTATATATATTTCATTTTAATACAAATAATAATTTTACTTTTTTACTCAAATTTTTATATATAAAATTAGTTAAAAGTATGTATAAAATACTTCACTTCAAATAAAATCATGGAAATAAATTAGGTAACCCTCAACATTTACTATTTATAAAAATATAATTTATTTTTTGTAACACATTATGTTCAAAGTAAATATAATAAGTACCTTTGTAAGAAAAAAAAGTAAAAAAAAAAAAATTGTGCTTTTCTAAAATTAAAACTGTTTTTAAATATTATCGGAATCAATAGTACTTTACTTTAAAGATTAATTACCTTATAAAACTATTTTTCTAAGTTAAAGTAAATTTAAAGTTATTTTTTTATAAATTTTGTGAAAACACTAAACTAGTTTTACAGCTTAATTCTTTTAAATACTTTTAAAATCAATCTGTAACTTCATCAATAAATTAAAATTAACTAAACTAAGTAAAAATAAAGATTTTGCATAAAATTGGTAACAACATTAACTCGTTTTATAAATAAATAGAGTAAGAAGTTGGTTGCTTAATAAATTCCTGCTTTAAGCTTTTTAATTACCTTCATAATCGATAATAAATTTCTTCATAGTTTAATTTTATTTACTAAACTATTTAACTAAAGTAAAGTAAATTCATATAAAATAAATTAAAAATTTATAATATTAAGTTGTTTAACAAGCAACTTTAAAAAAAAGAGGAATTGTTAATTATAAATTACTACATTAAACATTTTAAATACAAAGAAAGCAAGAGAAAACCCTTTACATTTTTAACTATGTTAAAAAAAAAAATTTAGCCCAAGTAAAATTTATATTAGCAATATATTTTTCGAAGTGACTCCACAGTAAGTAGAAGGCTAATAATAAAATCCTGCTTAAAGCTTTGTGTTATTCTTAAAGTCAATGATAAATTTCATTAAAATTTAGAAATATAAAGAAACTATTTAACAAAAATAAAGTAAATTAAATAAGAAAAATTCGGATTCTACATAATTTATAATTATATTAAACTTATTTTACAATTACCTCCACAGTAATAAGTAGGCTGTTTAGTAGTATAATCTTGAGCCGACATTATAAAAAAAGGTAAAAAAAAAACTAAAGAAGAATATTTTTACTCTACTGATATTAACTTTATTAGAAGGAATAATAATAAAAAGGACTACATAAATATCAACTCTAAGATGAAAAAAATTACGTTAAAAAAGAACAGACCTTTACCTTTTTGTTAAAAATTATACAGTAGCAACGTGCAGGAGGAAGAGTATTGACCTCAACAAAAACTTTTGTGCTTTTCTTTTGGCGTTCAGAAGGTTATCATTCCTTTTTTTTCTTAAGCAGTACATATTATAAATAAAACTTTATTTTTATTGTGTAAATATATTTTAATATAACCTTGAAGTTATTATTATTACTTTGCGTAGAGTAAGGAGTGAAACGAAATGACTCAAAGTTACAAGACACCTTATTATGATAAGTATTTAGGTTCGCTACGAATTATATTTACAACTAATTATATTTTTTTTAAAAGAGTATTAATTATAATAACATTTACTTTATATATGAAAATTTTTTAATTTTAGGATCTGAAAATCGTTATCTTTCTAGCCGTAGTAATTTTTCTATAGATTATGTTCCTAGAAAAATTGAACAGGTTTCTCAATATCCTCCAGTAGTAAATTTTTGGAAAGATTACGTTTATGATCCTAATTCCGCTGAATATTCACGAGAATCACAAACTGAAAGATACAAGGGAGTCAATATATCGAGAGATTACTTATATGAAAACTCTTATAGTTGTTATAAAGATTATAATCAGTCTGTGGACCATAAAAAAGATAAGCGACCTCGCGATGTTTACGATAATGATAAAAACCATATATATGAAAAAACTAATAAAGTTAGAGAAGAGGAAAGTAAATTACGTTATAAAAGAAGTTATTTACCCGCTTCAGAACATTTTAAAGAGCGTAGTTACAAAGATGACCACAGTTATCGCGGTGCTGATTATGATTATATTCCTTATATAAATAAATCCGATAATTCGGAAAAATTTATTCCCAAAGCTCGTAAAAATTCTGATTATTATGAAGAACCGAAAAAAAAATTATCTAGAAATAATAACTTTTCACCTCAACATGGAAATTTTTATAAAACGGCAGATTGGAAAAATAATAGGGTGCATGAGTATAAGTATAACGATAGTAAAAGTGGCTTTGATAGAGATCACAAGGAAACCAAAACTTATATTAAAGTTAAAAAGACAGAAAAAGAACCAATTTACTTAATTGGAGGAAGCCAGATTACTTTATGTGAGAGGTAAGTTTTAGTCATACACAGAAAAATTATAAATATATTTTTTTTTACTTAACAGATTTGCTTCTCTAAGCAAGAAAGTTGTTGTAAATCGAACGGATTCAAGCTTGATTAATTTAAGTAAAGTAAATAAAAATAATCTATCGAAAAAGAAGAATAATAAACTTAATAAAAATAGTATTAAGAATTTTAATAAAGGTAGTAATTTAAAGAAAAGTGGTACAAAAAAAATTAATAACAATAATAATTATTTAGTTAATAAAAAAGAGAAAAACACTGCAACTTTTCGTGATCCAATAAAAATATCAAAAAATAAATCTGCAGTTAAGAAAAACAAAGAAAAATTTAGTTTGAATTCTGAAGTGGAGAAGACTTCTAAATTAAATGTTTTTGAGAGGCTGGACAAAAATTTAAATGAAAGATCTACAGTTCTTTCTAGACTTTCTGTGGCTTCTAGTGATTCAATTTTATAATGTTTTTAAAATAATTTTGTAATATTTTTTGAAGAAATAAAGTAAATCGCCCATCTTTTAATAAAAACTTTAAATCTATAAATTAAATTACTTAAACTTTTTTTTTAAAGAAATGTGGTTCCACAATTTTTATTTATAAAATTCAACCTACTTTTAAGATGAAGTTGGTTTTATGAATTATACCTTAGCTATAAATAATAAGTTAACTTCTATAAGATAAAAATAAGTATTACAAATAGTATAATAAAATATCTAACATGAGAGTATTTGTCAATCTAAAACTCTTAATCCTTTACAGCAGTTCACAAAAAATAAACTTTTAAAAAGCGGAAGTTATTTTTCATAACTTTGTTGTTTTAATTTAATCTTTTTTGTATAAGTTAAACTCTTCTTGAAAGTTATTTTCCGCTATTCAATGCTTTCATTATTTTATAAATATTTTAAATAAGAACCTTTAAAACTAACTAAGATAATAAACAATTATTTTTGTATACAACTTAAAAAATAATAAATCAGAGAGTGCAAAAATGTAATATTGAGAATATTAATTTTAAAAGTTTTTTTAATAGTAACAAGGTAAGTTTAGAATATCAAATATAATAATTATAACAAAGTGAGGCTAACTTTTTTAAATAATATATTTTTTTAAGATATAATAACAAAAAATAACTTTTTTATTAAATAGATTAAAACTTGAATTTATTAGAGTTAATCAGAAAGTTTACTTATAAAATAACAATAAAGAGAAGATATAAACAGGTACTAACAGTAAACCTAAAACGATAATATATAAAATAAATCACTTTAAAAATTAGTTTAGTATATAAAATTGTATGAAGTAATAATTATACAAATTATAATAGTAATATTATTATATAAAGATATTACTAAGCAAATGTAAATCGAAGACTTTAGAAAAAGTTAATCAGTTCGAATGAATGTTTGATTCCTTTTTAAAAAAAGTTTTGAATAAGTTATTTAAAAAAGAAAGCTTTAACTTATATGAGAAATAAAGATTAGTATAATAAAATTTTATTTAAAAATAAAATTTGTAGGATAAAAGTTGATCAGTTGTTTTGTAAAATAAAAATTATAATGAAAATGTATCCCTTTTTGAATGAGTATTACTATCCCTATAATGAAATATAAAGCATTATTTACTCCAAAGATTAAACAGTTTAATAATTTCGAATTTTACTAAAATGTTATAAGTTTAGATAAAAATATATATATTAAATTAAATTTTTTTAACTAAGCGACGGATAGAATTTTAAAAATATTAAGCTCAGTTTAATATATTATAATAAAAATAACTTAAAAAAAAAATTTATTATTATTAATTTTATAAATATGTATATAAGAAATTATTAAGTTTATTATAAAATTCTTATCACCAAAAGAAATTTTCAAAAGTACAAGAAATCATAAAACGCTGAGTTCAAGAAATTTTAAATTTTCATATACAAACCTATAAAACAAATTATTTAAAACTTCTAAAAGAAAATTATATATAATATAAAATTTGTAAAGTTTCTTTTGTAATTCAATAAAAATTCATTATGCAAAAAAAACAGAAACAAATGCTTTAAAAAACTTTATAAATTTCAATATAAAGAAAATTCTAAATATTAAAAAAATTATCCTTAATAAAAAAAAAATTAATATATATAATAAGAATTTATAAAGTGAAATATAAAATATTCTATAAATTAGAAAAAATTTTAGAAAATTAACAAAGAAAAATCTGTTGCTTCGAGAAAATTATTTTATTTTCAAAATAATTATAAAATTTAGATTTTATGATACTTTTTATTAAAGAAATTTGTATATATTTAATTTGGTAAAAGTTTGTACAAAATTAATATTATATTATAAAAACCACCAAACGCAACAAAGAATCTAAATTAAATTGTTTCAAAACTTGTTTCTCTTTCTAAATAATAATAAAATTAGTTTTTAAAGAGTGGAAAATAAAATTTTAGGAAAATTCAAGAAAGCAAAAATTTATCAAATAACTTAAATTAATTTAGTTATAAAATAATAAAATTTAGAATTTGTAAAAAAAATTTATTAAAGCAAATTAAAAAAATATATATAAGAATTGATTAAGTTTGTATAAAAGCTAAATTATTATTAAAGAATTATTCAACCAATTAAAGAATCAAAAATAAAATTCTTCAATAACTTTTTTTTCAATAATAATTTATATAATTTAAATTTTAGAAGAAAAAAATTTATTATTAAAGAAATTTATATATATAAAAAGGAGTTTATAAAGTTTATGAAAAGATAATTTCATATCCTTCAATTTTCAGAAATCAGAAGCGGAGGCTTAAATAAATCATATATATTTTCAATATAGACTTATAAAATATTAAAAAACTGAAATAAACTAAAAAATCTTTCAGAATTTCAAAAAATCAAACACTAAAGCTTAATAAAACTTTATTTATTTTCAATAACAACAATATAATTTCTGCCCAAAAATAAAATTTATGTAAGTTTATTATGTAGTTTTAAATTTTTTCTTCAAAAGTTCAAGATATCAAAAACGGATGCTTTAATGCATTTGAAACGGAGATTCGTTTATTCGGATCGAAATTCAACATGGACAAAAGCAGATCATAAAAAAGATCGACGCGATTATTTTTTACATCTTCAACAGAAGAGGAAGATCTTAATTTCGAGAGCAAATCAAAAGCGGGTTTAGCGATTTCTAGTCGAGTGACGCTCGTCTAATAAAAATAATAATAAATATTATAATAAATAGAATAGTAATAAGAAAAACTTTATCAGTAATTTTATTGTATTCCACGTGCATGAAAACATAATTTTCATCGAAATGAAGACTAGCAAAGTGCGCCTTTTTTAATAAACGCTTTGGGACTGGCCCTAGTAGGTCCATGTGCGCTTTTAACATTTGATTATTGGTTTGCCCGTTAAATAGAAAACTTCCAGTGTACAACTCATAAAAACAGCAAGCAGCCGACCACATGTCAATCTATTATTAATAATAATCATAAAACTTATAATAAGTAATAATATGTAATATAGATATAATAAATATAAATAAATTTATTATAATAATATATTAAACATAATAAATATATTTAGATATAATAGTAATTAGAATGATAATAATAATAAATACAACATAAAATAATAATAAAAGTTTTTATAAACATAATAGTAGTAATATATTTGAGCTAAATAATAAAAGATATAATAATTATATTATAAATAATAAAACTAAATATATAAGTAATAATGCAAAACATATAAATAAAAATAAATATATTAATAAATATAAAATAATAAAAATAAAGTAACCTCAAAGGAATAAGGAAGGCCCAAAATAACTTCGGGAGCTCGATAGTAACGGCTGACTAAGTAAGGGGTTAAGGAAGATTCTCCAGCCTTCAGCGCTAATAATAATAATAATAATAATAATAATAATAATAATAATAATAATAATAATAATAATAATAATAATAATAATAATAATAGATATGTGAATAATATAGTATAAAGAAAATATATTTGAAAAATTAAAATGTTAAACGTAATTATAAATAAAAAATGATCATTAGTAGGGGGGGAAGCATAAATATATTAAGTAAATGGGATAAGCTATTAAAGTCACCTATAAAAATAGATCAATATTGTAAGATTTGTAAATTATTATAATAAAATAAACAATTATAAATATAAACTACACGAAAAAAAATTAAAAATATAAAGAAATAGGATTGGTTAAAAAAGCCACCATTAAAAATTAGTATAATATTGTAAAAAAAAGTATATTTTAATATATATAAAAAATGAAAAAAGAATGATAATATAAAGTGCATGGGATTGGTTAACAAAACCACGAAGAAAAAAGTCTAATAAATATCGCTGATAATAATGAAAGACGTCTAACACGTGACTGTTGCTCAATATATTCAGCAATCTTTGTAAAATTGCTTTAAATAAAATTTAACCAATCATTGTCTTTTTGTCAAAATGCAAGTATTCGATTGTCTTTAATAATGAAAAACTTTAACTATTAATTAAAATAAATTAACATTATTTAATGAAAAAATATTATTTTAATAAAATTAAGAAAATAAAAATAAATAATTATAACTTTTGTAAATGTAAGATATTATAAAAATAATAAATAATTTTCTTATACATTTAAAAAATAAAAGTTATATAAAATTTTATAATAAATAAATAAAAACATTTAAAAGAGTAAATATTAATAAAAATTCTAATAAAAAATATTAAAATAAAATTAATAAAGAAAATTTTCATAACAGTAATACTAATAAAAGTATAAAGTATTATAATAAAAATATTAAAGAATAAATAAATATAATTAACTAAAATTATTATAAAAAATATTTACTATAATAATTTTAATTATAAACAGTAAAGAAATTTAAATTATATAACCATAATATTTTAATAAAAATATTGATATATAATAAATAAATAAAAGTAAATATTAATAAGAATAAAAAATATTCATACTAAAATTATTGATTTCAAATAAAAAAAACTTTTGAAAAAGTAAAATAATAAAAATACAAAAAGACCATAAAAAAATTATTATTATAATATTTATTATTTCATTAAAATTATAAACATTTTTGCTAAAAAAATAAATTATTATATATTTCTAAATACTTCATGATTTAAAAATAGCAATGATCCATTAATTATTATGAAAGTATATTTTTTTTTTATTAATAAGTAAAAATTATTATTAGTTATTATAAAAAATTACTTGTAAATATAAAAAACTTTTTGTTTATCATAAAATTTTTTTTCTCTTGGTAAAATAATAAATAATAAAAATTTCTTAAAAACTAGAAAAAAAGAACTGTGTAAAATATTTTAGCAAATATTTAGGTAATTCATAAATTATAATGAAAAGTAAATGTTTTGTATGAATAAGTAAATATTATTATTAGTAGTATAAAAATTTACTATATAATATTTAAACCTCTTTATTAATAAAATTTTTTCTATCGTTTAAAAAAATAATAAACAAAGATATTTCCAAAAAGCTCTATAAAAAATTTTATGCATCTTAACAAATATTTTTATGAATTGTAGAACGATAATAAAAAATAAAATTTTAATTAATAAAAAAGTAATTAGCATGAAAAATTTACTTGTAAATATATAAGACTTTAAACAAAAATTTTCATATCGTTCAATATATAATTAAATTTTTCAAAAAGCTATAAATAAAATTGTGTATATTAATTAATTAATAGCACTAGAGCATAAGTTTAATAAATTTTTTAAAAAAAATATTAAAAAAAAATAAAAGCCATAAATTAGTATAAGAAATTTACTTTTTATTTATATAAAAACTTTTTCATTATAAAATGTTTTCAATAGTTAGAAAAAATTTTATAATGAATTAAAAAATAGAAAAATTTATTAATAATCAAACTCGTTTATGGCAATTATACAATAATTCTAATTAATTTATAAATAATAAAAAATTTACTATTCAATAGTATATAATTAAAAATTTCTTATAATGATATAATTTCTATTGCTATAAAAATAATGAATTGTTAGTTATTATTAGCAGTGACTCAATAATATTAATGAATTTACAATAACAAAATTCGATTTTTTTTTATTAATTAGTATAAAAAAATTATTCCTCGTACTATTCAATATTTTATAATTATAAACTTTTTTATAATAATCTATTTTCTAGTGTTTAAATTATAATGTACTATTATTTCACTATAAGCAATGAAACACTAATTCTAATAAATTTGTATATATATTGTTTTTTTCTTTAAATAAAAATATTAATAATTAGTATAGAAAATTCAATATTTTTATAAATAAAAACTTTTTATAAATAAATAATTTTTTAGTTATAAATATAATTTCATTATAAGTAATAATACAATAATTCTAAAGAATTTTATATAAAAAAATTATAAAAGTTCTTACCAGAACCAAAATCACATACATATAATGAATTTTGCGCGGCAGAAACGAGCATGTTGTCCGGTTTCAAGTCCGCATGAATTATGCCGCTTTTTTTTAATGTTCTTCTCAAAATAATAATGATATATCAATAGTGATAATAATAAATATATAAATAAATATAATAATAAATAAGAATATAAATAAGATATTTAAAATAAGAATAATAAAATCATTATAAAACATAAATAAAAAAAAATTAAAAATAATATATAAAAGAAATAATAAATAAAAATATATTAATAAGAATGATGATAATAAATATATGATTAATAATAATAAATATTTAAATAAAAAATTAATTTATAAATATATATACTAATAAAAATAATAATTATAAGAAATATAAAAATAAGAGTAAATATATTAAAACAATAAGTATATCAATAAATATTTATATAAAAATAATAATAAATATATATATTAAAAATAAGTATAATAAAAATATATATAAAACTAAATATATTAAAAAAATTATTGTATTTAATTGTAGTTATATTAATTACGAAAACATATATAAATAATAAAATATAATAAATAATTTTCACAATAATAACAAAAAGCAATAAAGAAAATAAAAAAAAAGTAGTAGTGATACAATAATAATAATAGTAGATAGTAAAAAGTTTTCTCTGCTCTCTCCATAACCTTAATGTGACCAATACTTATATACTTCACTATATATATACAAATAACCAATAGAATTATTACATTTCTAGACACGAACGAATGAAAAAGGGTTATCGCTTATAAATGTTTAAAAAGATCAATAGGAATTGAGCATAATGTTTTCCATTAATAATAATAGTTAACTTTGCTTAAAGAAAAAATTTGTACAAAAGATAAAGCTTAAAGCTTATTGGTAGATTCGTAGAAGAGGATGGGTCATGCTTCATTCCATACGAATTAAAGTTAAGAAAAGCGCTATTATTGAAGCTAAATGATTTACGACACATAAATAAATACAGAAAATATGTTTTAACCAATAGAAACCAAGCGACATATACATTATAACGGCTTAACAAGCGATAAAAAGTCAGCTAATACACAAAGGGCACTTCTAGGAGAGAGGCACGTGTTTATATACTCATGATAAAAACAAAATGGAAAAAGAAAAATGGTAAAAAAAAAGTCCAATTAGATTATAGAATATTATCATAAAAGATGCACAATGAAGTAAGCAGAAAATATTTTATTATTATTATTATTATTATTATTATTATTATTATTATTATTATTATTATTATTATTATTATTATTATTATTATTATTATTATTATTATTATTATTATTATTATTATTATTATTATTATTATTATTATTATTATTATTATTATTATTATTATTATTATTATTTAATACTATTATTATTTCTTATTACTATTATCAACCTTAAAGCGATGAGAATTTGTCTAGAATAAACTTTAACGGCTTTCAAGTTCAAACCTGTTTTTCCACCAAACTTTTTAATAACCTTTAATAAATAATAATAATATCAATAAAAAAAAATATAAAAGTAGAAATAACAATAAATATAATAATTAAATAAAAAATAATAAAATAAATATTACAGTGAAACAATAAATTTTTTATATAAAAATATTTTCATAAAAACGAAAATAATATGAATATAAGTTTAAAGTATTAATAGACATCAACTTTTTAATGTATTAAATTAGCCTATGAAAAACGAGTGCATTAATATTACTATTACTATTACTACTATTATTATAGAATACTACTTTATATTATTATTTATATTATAATATTAAATATTATTATATAAATGTTGTAAATATTCTCATTATTATGATAAATAATTTATTATATTTTAAACATGATGGTGATTATTTATTATTGGATGGTTATGAATTATTGTTATTACTAGAGATTATCATTATTATTATTATAATAGTCTTTTGTATTATTATTATTAAATATTAGCATTATATTATTATGATTATTGTTTATTATTATCATCATATTTATAAATTATTATTATTATAACAGCAACTAACCTGCCTCAAATTCATTTTATGCGAGTCCAAAACAATACATAAATGGCCTAAATAAGCAAAACTGTCCAATAAATGGACGCAATGCCCCCGACATTTTGGGTCTTTTTTAGTGAGTTCCGTAAGAATTTTGACTTCACTATTTCCCGCCTTCAGCATCACGTGGTTCCTCTTAATCACTTTGATGACTACCTGAACACGTGCATTTAAGGAATTACTATATATTAAAATATAAACAATTTTTCGTTGTTTTTAGGTTTCCTATTAGTTTATTATACACTAATTATATTTGTTTTAACATTTTTATTGCTATATTTATTATTTTTTAATATAATATAATAATAATAATAATTAGAAACTTCGCGAGAATCTTCGGAACACAAATCCCTAGCACGCAGTACGGAGCTGAAGACGCCCTTCCCAGCAAAACTAAAAACCTTAATAGTTTTATGTATTTTTTAAGAACATAAAAAAAAGAATAGAAATAATAATAGATATGACATGGATTATAATGATAGTAAAATAAAAATATTATATTAAAAAGTTTTTTTCATAAGAATAATATATTAAAAAAATTAATGTGAGTAAGAACATCGTCAATTAGTTATTTGCTAAAAATAATTATTAAACGCTCTTTATTGGCTGTCAACACAATTGTAATAGGAAAAGCGAACAAACTATGTTCTTTATCATAGTAATAATAAAATAAAAATTTTTAAGTTAAAAGTAGAATTTCATATTTTTCAAGGATTATATAGTAATAATATAATAAATAACGTTTTTTAGAAATAAATAATGAATATCCAAATAAACAAAATTTTTCTAATAATTTTTTTCATTAAAAATAAAAATATAAAACTTAATAAAAATAATGAATTCATTATGGCTTTATAATTAATCATATTGGCCGGTAGTTATTTTTGCAACTCGGACGAACCCTTCGGAATAACGATTGAATAATATTTAAAAGGACAATCTCACTGGGTAGGACCCACTGGATCAGCACTCACGAGGCTTGTCTGTCTAGCAATCGAGCCTATTGGTCGCTTTGTACCATTTGTTAACGCTAGTAAGCAACTTTACAGGATCATTAAACCATTGGACAAGCCGACCTTTTCTTATATTAATATAAAAATAATATAATAAGCCGAGCGAGTTCAAGCGAAATTTGAGCAATTATAACGTGATTTCTTCTACTGGAAAAGTCAACAATATTATTGGACTAAGAAAGTCGATATCTTTCGATTAGTGGCAATACAAAAAGTTGGTATGTGGTTGGCCTCTTCTGTCTCGTGTTAATATTTTAATAGTTATTAGTTTCGAGAAAAAACTAAACTTTTTACTAGATAAAACGTTTCATATTATTATTAGTATAAGGCACTCCAAATAAAAAAGTTTATAAAAAAAATTTACTTAAAATATAAAAATACTATAAAAAACTTAAAATATTAGAATAATAATAATTTTATTAAAAAGTTAAAAAAATATTTAACGATGTTATTTTTAATAAACTTTTAGCAAGAAAACTTTATTATATTAATTCATTAAAAATGTTTCAAGTCAGCATATCAATATAAAGTATTAATAATATATAAAAAAATTACATAATTTTATAAAATATTAATAAAAAGAATTATAGTTTTATTAAATAATTGAGAGAATATTTTGATAATATTATCTTTATAAAACTTGTAGCACGGAAACTTCTTTGTAATATAAAATATAAATATATTTTTAAAAAAAATAATGATTAATAGTATAAAAAAATATTTAAAAATATTTTAAAAAAAGTCAAAAATTAATAAAATAGATAGAATTTATATTAAAAATAAAAAAAAATAAAATATTTTATAAATAATAAAAAGGAAAATATATCTATTGTTTTTATTTTATATAAATAATGTAATAATAAAAGTTTTAAAAAAAAAATAAATATCAACTAAATATTAATACTAATAATATTTAAAGATATAAAAAAAATGTTTAAATATCTACAAAATTGATAGAATTTATAGTAAAATAAAGAATAAATTTTTTATATATAGTAATAAATAGAATATTTACTTTTACATTAAATATAAACAATAATATAAATGAAAGGTTTTATAAAAAATGTTTGATATACAAATAATACTTTTAACATTATTAAAATAAATAATAAAGTCCCATAAAATTTAAATATAATATCTTATTTATAATTATAAATAAAAATATATATTTACTTTTATATTATATATTATAATTAATATTACTTTCGAAAAAACTCTTATAACAAAATATTATTATATAAGTAATAATAAATAATAATACCGAATAACGTCCTTTGATAAGCTCGCCAGGAAGAAATTTATGAAAGCCTTCATCGTCGTCGCACGTGTCTGTGGGCTGGTAGCTCAACGTGGTCGTTTCTTTAGTGGAAGTATCAAAAGAATCATCAAACATATCAGCTACAGGCTTGCGATGAGCTCCTCATAATAGTAATAATAATAATAATAAGTATAATAATAATAATAAATATAAATGTATAATAAAAATACCATCAGCTGTTTCTTTATCAAAAGTTTTTATATTTATTAATTCTAAACATTTTTCATCTAAAAAAGTTGTTGAACTATTTTTATTCTCAAATGTATTCTCTTCAAGATTTTTATGTTTATTATTATTATTATTATTATTATTATTATTATTATTATTATTATTATTATTATTATTATTATTATTATTATTATTATTATTATTATTATTATTATTATTATTATTACTATTATTATTACTATTATTATGATTATTACTATTATTATTATTATTATTATTATTATTACTATTATTATTACTATTATTATTATTATTATCAAAAATATTATTAGAGCTAGAATATTTTTTTACACTAATCATTTCTTTATATTCAAAGTTTGATAAAAGTTTTTTACTTTCCTTAAAATTTATCTCTTTTTGTTCAACAATAAAACTTTTATTATAACTATTATTATAATCATTATTATTATTATCATTAGTATTATTATCATTATTATTATTATTATCATAAGACTCGCATTCCCCCAAATCATCCAAAAATACAGAATCGGTTTTCTTTTCACTAAAAAATTTCTTTAAAGAAAATTTTACTTTCGCATTATTGACCGAAACTATAGAATCGGCCATTTTTTCGGGGATGATTGGTGGTTCATAGAAGCTTGTAGTTGGCTTATGCGTTACAAAAGTCGACCCGGGCGTCAGACTTAGATCATCTTCTTGGTAAGTTTTAGAATGCACCTCCTCATCGTTAGTAAATTTCTTATTTGGTAGGGGATTGTATTCGGTTGCGGATAATTTTTGTTGAGTTTCACAAATTTGCGCGTTTTTTGGCTTAACAAAATCTTTTCTATTGTCGATGTCAAAAGACGAACTTGCAGGATTTACTTTAACAGATTTACTTTTATAATGTAATTATAATAAATATTAATATTACAAAAAAAATAAACTTTTAAGTAAAAATATATAAAAATGGATTAATATAAAAAGAATATAACAATAAAACTAAAAATATAAAAAATATTCAAAAAACTTTTTAAAAATTTATAAAAAATATAATAACATAAAAATATTATAAACAGTTTATAAAAAGTAAATGTTATAAAAATATAAATAATTATTTAAAAAATATAAAACTTTTAAGTAAATATATACAAATATATTATAAAATATTAAAAAAGGTTTTAAAAAATTATTATAATAGCCATAATAATATATAAATATTACAAAATTTAGAACTTTTCTGTAAAAATATTAAAAAAATAATATAAAAACAGCGTTAATAAATACAGTTATGAAAATTATATAGTAATAATAATAAAGTTTTATAATTATAAAAAATATAAATATGTAACGAACAGTTTTTAAAAAAGTTATAATTATATAAAAGTAGAGAAGTAGTAATGAATCATAATATTATAAAATTGACTTTAAATAATTTTAAAAGATATAAAATATTTTAAAAGGATTTAAAAAAAAATATAATAAATTAGAAATAAAATATAATATAAATATAAAATAATATAAATAGTTTTTAATAGGAAATTGTTACAAAAAATATAATAAGAAATTTAATATAATTATGAGAATACATAAAACTTTTAGGTAAACAGATATACATATAATAATAATAATAAACATTACAAACAAAGTAAAGGTGCTAAATATTTATAATAATAATAATAAAATATTGTTAGAAAATATAAAACTTTATAAGATAATATACTTAAAAATATTATACAGTTTTTAGAAATTATAAAAATATAAAACTTTATCAGTAAAAATAATAAAATAAAATATTATAAAATATATTATAAAAAGTTTTAAAAAAATTGTAACAATATATAATAATAATAATTATAATATAGTATTATTATTAAAAAAATAAAACTTTAAAGTATAAACATATTAATAAAATAATATAAACTACTCTAAACATTTTATCAAAAAAAATGGTTATAATAAATATATAATAATAATAGTAATATAATAATATTATTTAAAAAAATTATTAAATATAATAATGAAAAATAAATAAACAGTTTTTAAAGAAATAAACGTGATGAAAAATATTATTAGAAAATAAAAAACTTTATAAATAATATATATAAATATTATTATTCAAAATATAAAATTTTCAAGTAAAAATATATAAATATTATACCAAAAATTATATATAAAGCTTAATAAAAGAGCGCTTTTATAAGTAAATTCAAAATATATAATTAATAATAAAATAAATATAAGTTTTTAAAATTAAAAAAAAATACATTTATATGTAAAAATTAAAAATAATTATAAATAATGAAAATATATATATAATTTTTCTTAAAGTATACTTTTATAAGTAAAAACAAAAAATATAATAAAGAATAAAAATATTTTTATTTTAAAAAAATTTTCAAGTATAAATAAATATATTAAAAAAATATATACATAAAACCTTATAAACAAAATTATATTAAGTAAAAAAAAAATGAAAAACTATATATATAAAAAATAAGATTTTTATATATTTAACAGATAAAAAGTTTTCCTTTTTCTTTAATAAAAATTCAAAATATATATAAAAAAAATATTTACATTCAAAATTATAAATTTTAAATTTTTTAATAAAAATAAATTATATTTAAAAATAAAAATAATATAAATTTTAATGTAATTATCCTTTTATATACTATAAAAGTTCTATTGAAAAATACTAATAGAAAAAATAAGAAAAGAATTCTAAATAATAATTAATAATTTTATAATTAAAAAATTATTTTAGTTTAAAGACAATAAGTCAATTTATTGAATCATTAATTAATATATTCTTTTAGAAATAATCTAATAAAAAATTAATAAAGTTAAATCATAAAACTATAATAATAAAAATAAAATAGTAGAAAAAAAGATTAAAATAGTTAATTTATTTAAAAATTATAAAATTTAGTAGTATTTTATAAATTCCTAAAAAGTATAAATTAATTTTATAAATTATATATAATTATAAATAGTTCCCCTTTTCTATATACTTCCTATTTTAAAAAGTTTATAAATAATTTATAAAATTTTTCTAAAAATAAAAAAAAAATGAGTTTAACAATAATTCGATATAAAAACATTATAAAACATTATATAAAATTTGAAAATTAAATTCATTTATTATATAAATTATTATATATTTAAAACTCTTTTAATATAATGAAAAAGTTTTTATAGAAGATGAATAAATCTATAACAATAAAAAGTAAAAAAAATTTAAAGTTTCCAAAAGTAAATCATTAATTACTCAACTAATAATATATAAAAATTTAAAAAAAGAATTACTTTTGTTCGCGACTTTTTTGTCTTTCAGCAAATCTCTTGTTACGCTCCAAAATTCGTAAAAGAAAAGTAAATTCATCCGTTTCATCAGATTCCGTTAATTCTTAAATTTTTATTTTATAAATATTACTTAATTAATTTAATATTTATAATTTAATGTAGGTTTTAGTATATAATAAAGATTAGTGTTAAATAAGATTAATTCAACTTATACTTTATTATTTTATTTATTTATTTATTCCTAAATATTTATATTTTTATTAAAGTAAATAATTATAAAAGTATAGATTGTTAAAATTGTTAGTTTACTATTGCAGATCTCCTTTGAAGATTTATTAATTGCTCTAAAACGCTTACGCCCAAATTCGTCAACGTACTCGTTAAAATTCTACAATAAATACTATTTTAATTATATATATGTATAAAACAATAAAATTAAGACTATTGACATGAACTACATTGTTACAAATTTATTTAAATTAAAAAATATAATCTCGCTATAGTTGCAACGCTAAGTTATTCTAATATAAAGGTAAATTTTTTTAAAAAAAAAGAAAGAAATTTACTCTCATCTGTTATAAAAATAAGTTGTTCATTACCAGCCAAAAAGATATATAATAAAAACTTCAGCCTTCACTCAGAATAATCTTTAAAGTATTCAAAAATAGAAAACTTTTAAAAATCAAATTAAAAAGTAACCTGAGCTAAAGTAGCTTTCCACTCGTATAAGACTTTACTCCGAAAGCAATGAAAAATAAATAAGTTAAAAAAATAAAATAAAATAAAATAAAATAAACAGGAACAAACTGGAAATCGTTTGCTTCTATATACTATTGAACTCAGCAAATAATAATTTTAAAAACTCTGAATTTTTTTTTTTAATTTATAATAACAATTAAAAAGTCTTCTCTTATATTTTTAAACTAATAGTTATAAATAATATTTTACTGCTCATTGAAATGTTTTTTAATTTATGATTATGGTGTGATCGCTTCACTATATAAACGAAGTAAAGTGTTTTTCCTAATAACCCTCTCAAGTGAAAAAAACTTGCATCATACTATTATTAACGTCGTGGCATTTTTTACTTCGAACTAAAGTTTTTATAAACAAAGCTTTAACTTATAAGGGTTTACAGCAATTAACGTAATATTTAATTTATAAAAGAAAAATTGAGAAACTAAATTAGTAAAATTTGAATATACTAATTAAATTCAACAATTTTTACTTAAAATTTAAGTTCATTAAACAAAAGTTTCAACTTTATAAATTATGAAGCTATACACGTAAATTTAAAAAATTGAAATGCTAAGCATGTAAAACTTTAATAAACTAACTTAATTTCTAATTATTTATTTTTATCAAAGTTTAGTTTCACAAAAAACCATAACTATATCCCTTTTTGTTTAAGAATTAGGTTTTCCATTACGTTTAGGAAGCAGCTTAAAAATTTGCTATTTTTTATTATCCAAATTAAAAGAAAAATAAGCAGGCAATATTGTACGTTTAAAGTATAAATTAGCTAAATCTAAATTCAAGGCCAGATAAAAAATTAGTATTAATTGAAGGAAACCTAATAATTTACTGTAATGAAGAATTAATGTTACTATTCAAAAAAATGGCTTATATATTTTTTTTAATAAAAGCTTGTTAGAATATGAATTTAACTAAACATGGTATAACTCTGCCTTATTATGAGGATAAGTCGCTTTACAATATTCACTGTTTATCTCTACATAAAATTACTTAGATTATAACA